TATTAAATAGTGAGGGATTTGTATATTTTAAAATGATAAAGGATGTAGATTTGCGATAAGATACATTGATTAATCGAAACCAATAGCGTGAAGTGCTTTCGATCCATATCGGCCAAGGCGGCGTGCAGATGGGCAACGCTTGCTGGGAGCTTTATTGCTTGGAGCACGGCATACAACCTGACGGTATGTTGCCACCGCAAACCTGCACGAGCGATGAGGGCTTCCAGACCTTCTTCAGTGAAACAGGCGGTGGAAAATACGTACCTAGGGCAGTTTTCCTAGATCTCGAACCAACAGTAATAGGTAAGCTCATTTTACGACAATAATTAATAATGAGACAACATCAACATATCAATATAATTGCTTATCGTTGTCGTCCTTTAGATGAGGTACGCACGGGAACGTACCATCAGTTATTCCATCCCGAGCAATTGATCTCTGGCAAGGAAGACGCCGCAAACAATTACGCGCGTGGTCATTACACCCTAGGCAAAGAGATCATCGACCTCGTACTAGACAGAATTCGCAAGATAGCAGACATGTGTAGTGGTCTCCAGGGTTTCCTCATCTTCCACGCGTTTGGCGGTGGCACTGGATCTGGCTTTGCTAGTCTGCTGATGGATCGACTATCTATGGACTATAGCAAAAAGGCGAAGCTAGAATTTGCCATATACCCGTCGCCGCAAATTTCCACAGCAGTCGTTGAACCCTACAATGCAATCCTGACGACTCACACTACGCTGGAGAATTCCGATTGCGCATTCCTCGTAGACAATGAGGCAATCTATGATATTTGTAGACGTAATCTGGACATCGAGCGACCAACTTACACAAATCTGAACCGGCTGATCGGTCAGATTGTCTCCTCGATCACGGCCTCTCTGAGGTTCGATGGTGCCCTCAATATCGATCTCGCCGAATTCCAGACGAATCTCGTGCCCTATCCTAGAATACATTTTCCTCTGGTAACTTACGCGCCCATCGTGTCCATCGAGAAGGCTTATCATGAACAGCTCACCGTGATGGAGCTTACCTCAGCCTGCTTCGAGCCAGCCATGCAGATGGTCAAGTGCGACCCGCGAAAGGGCAAGTATATGGCCTGCTGTTTGCTGTACAGAGGCGACGTAGTGCCAAAGGACGTCAACGCGTCCATTGCGACTATCAAAACCAAGAGAACGATACAGTTCGTCGACTGGTGTCCGACGGGTTTCAAGGTTTCTTTTCTAGCAATTTTTCTTCGTGACATTAGCGAGGATTTTGCAGTAATTTGTGAATTATAATTTCTAAAAATTTTACCACGTGTGTTATAATCAATGTAAAAAAACATTTCGGAATATATATTCCGATTTACTAGTTTGGCTATATCTGCAGTTTTCTACTTCAGAATATTTTACACTGAGCTTTTGGCATTTTATTGATTTGATTTGGATGTAATAGGTAGGCATCAATTATCAACCACCAACTGTAGTACCGGGAGGTGATCTGGCGAAGGTGCAAAGAGCTATGGCTATGTTGGCGAACACTACGGCGATCGCAGAGGCATGGGCCCGACTGAACCGAAAATTCGACCTTATGTTCAGCAAACGAGCCTTCGTTCATTGGTAAACTAATTTTTATTTCACGAAATTAGAGACTCATATGGATTGTTCCTATTCGCGAATTGTAATACGTCAGGTACATCGGCGAAAACATGGACGAGAGTGAATTTAACGAAGCCAGAGAGGATCTGGCCGCGTTAGAGAAGGATTATCAAGAAGTCGGCATGGATTCCCTGGATGTCGGTGGCGAAGAAGAAATGTAACTACCTGTAAAAGACTCGCAGTGACAATCGCGTGCACTAAGAACGCATGCACTTTCGTGGGATAAATGATTGTTTTTTTTTTATTTAATCATTGTTTTTGTAGGATTTTTACATTGTTTTGTTGTTCTTTTGTACATGTTTTGTATGTATTGTTTGTTTTAGGTATATGAATTTTTGCACGTCTTTGTGATATAATAAAAAAAATCTGAACTCTCTTTAGTCCATTATATGTATTCTTTAATCGGAAACTTAGGGGAACTTATTAAGTTTTTAATGGAAGATTTTCAAAGGGAAATTTAGAGAGAAGGAAAATGAAAGACAGAACACCGCTCGTAGATATTATAGGCTTTTTATTGTGTGGAACAGCACGCGGCTGCGCGAATTATATTACATATGTATAAATTTCCGTCGACATCTTTACATTACGGTCGGAAAAAATCTCGCATAACGCGTAAAACTTTTATTTTTTCCCCTTTTTCGAGTGTAGTAAAGTGTGGTTTAAAAATCGTGAACCTTTTAGGGGATTTATTCTTGAAAAATATCGCGTTAGAAAATATTGGAAATCTATAATATACGTAATGTATACATATACAATATACACCATACTATTTTTGAATGTTTTCATATGCGATATTTTTTGAGAATACGACCCCTACACTTGTGCGTATTACTCTGATACGTGAGAAATTTAAAAGAGGATATTGCAAAAAAGAAATAATAGTCTTTCTCTTACAAATATAATAAGCTCTGCCGAATTAAATAGTCGTTAGTCGTATAATCATATAATTATAATAAAGGCGATAGTAAATCAAAGTAGAAATGTAAGAACGATGATCGAGATGCTGCCAAGCTGACGACAGAATTAACACAACTAATTACGCTGATCACAACGATAACGATGACAATGATAAACATTCGTAATTATTATCAAGCGTCTTACCCTATCTTTCTTCACCTCTATCGTCGCTACGTCAGCGACATTTTGGAACAGATCCTTATCTCGTCGTATCATATCAATAGAATAATAATAATCTATTGTTATATTCTTTTAATAGAATCTTGAATTGCGCCGTTCGTTGGCAGACGCGCGTAATAATTTGCATATTTTCGTATCTATAAAATTTCACGGTCTCTCTCTCTTTCCCTGTATCTACCTATTCTCCCTCTTACGTTTATTTAGAAGAAAAAAAGGGAAAAGCTTTTTACCTTGTTCTTTTCATTATACTTTTTGGATTGGCAGATTAAGCCTGCCACTCACTGGACTAGAGATTTTCACTACCTTTATTGCGCATCTGTTATTATATATTCGAGGGGGAAGTATCTTCCTCTCTCCATTTCTTTCGTATTTGTTAAAAATTAACTCTTTAAAAGAGCCAGACACGTCGTCCCCTTTAGCTCGAAAATCGTTTTGTTGTTTCAAGTTTTCTCTAGATTGTGAAAAATTTGTCTTCCTCTTTTAGAAAAACAAATCGTAAAATAAAATACTAACAATTCTCTATCAGTATAGTGAGGACAACTTCTTTCTCATTCATAACTGGTCGAAGAATGTGGATTTACAAAGATATTCGTAAATTTTGCCTAGAACAATCTCTCTCCGAAATAAAAAACTTTACAAATGCAAGATGAGATATATTGAACACGCAAGACACTTTCTCAAAGATTAACAGGAATTTCCGAATTGTTCAAGAATCAATAGAATCCATATCATGTCGTGTTCTCATCTCTTTTTACATTCAAAGGATCAAATAGCTAATTCGAATAAATTCTTATTAGTTCTATTATAAGTTCCGTTGAATTAAAAAAGTATTTAAAAAAAGCGCTTTACTGTACGCAATCGACTTTCAAGTCGATTGTACAGTGCTTCGCAACGTTTTGTAAAAACGTGCATCTGTAGAATCGCTACGTGAAGGCCAAAAATCTTTTACTAATTATCATCAGGCATATAATCAATCCGCATATCAACGAAATCCGTGTTTAAAGGACGCTGAAAATTCAAGCGTGACGTTATCAGCAAATATTGTTATCTAGATTGAAGCGATTGTCATCGTCAGGATTTGCCTTTACGCGAATATCCGTTGGAGTGTCGCGAAGGCCGAGTAAAATAGGCGGGAAACGTTTAAGATCTTTGGTAAAAACCCGCCTGACACGATCGGCGAAAATTACGGACGCTCAAATATTATCCAAGGCGGAAATAATCGAGAAAGATGAACACTGTTGGACCTCGAGTCCATCACGCTCTCGTCGTGGTCAGGATGTGGGACGACGAAGTCCTTTCGATCGCCCTAGAAAGGAGAGCCGGAGACGGATTAAGCTATCCAGATATCCTAGGCGTCCGATCAGAAAGTTTGCGCTATGTAATTATACGGTCCGTTAAATAATAATGCTACGAGATAATGACTATGTTAATTCACCAATCATCACTATAATCGGTAAATCGTAAAAATAATAGCGGTCGTGGCAAACGAAGCTACTCGCGAATAATTAAAGACAGTTACAATGAATGAACAACTAATAATAATTAATAGTAGCGATAGAATATTAATAATAATAGTAATAATAAAATAATAATTAAAGATTGGATTTACGGTAAATAGTAGTAGTAATAGTAGTAGTAGAATAGCAATAGTTCAGAGTGATAGTAGTAACTGGTAATGGTATAATGACGATTATGTCGCATGTGAAAATATCTAGAATCGATCTCTTTTTGTCGATAACACAATCACACAATTCGCAGTCATTCACGTTTCTCTCATTTACAAATTAGCAGACAGAATATCGATATACAAGCAAATTTAACCAACATTACAGCCTTTTATCGCTCTCATTCTCTCACTCTCTTTCTCTCTTTCTGTTGTTCGTATCCGGGGCAATTCATCTACGCGCTCTCGCTCGATTGACAGAGGTGGCAGTAATTGCGATTTTTAAAGCACCGCTGCTTTCTTTGTGCATGGTCCACCCATTAACGTGTTAATTGACAACGACGCGATTACGCTAACACGACGCAAACTGCCTTAAATATTAATTGAATTAAATATTCGATTCAGCGCAACTTTGCGCTTCGCAATCCCCGAGAAGATCCCATGGGAAAAGTCTCGTTCCCCGGTTTATCTACTTGTTTTACTTGCCGGAACGTGCCTCGCGTTTCAATAGAAAAAGAGATACGGCAGTGTGAAGGCGGCGAGTTCCGCTTCGATTTTGTGTTCGTTCGTTCCAGTAATCATGGAGGCGGCGGGCGAGAAGCGCGATGGCGATGAAGCGCGACGGATTCGACGCGGAAGGAAACCAAGACGACGGAAGCACGGTGATGGACGCGGTGGCGGTGGCGACGGCGACGACTGCGCTGAGAACCAGGAAGACGTCCGCGCACTCTTTCTTTCTCTCTCCTTCGGTCACTCCCGAATTGTTCAAGAACGATAAATACGGATGACGTCGCGGATTGGCGCCCGGCAAAGCGGACAGTGACCGCCACCCTTGCCACGCCATTGCTGAATCGCACAGGTATAGCACATACACATGTGACCGCACATGTAGAGCACGCTATCGATGCTGCGCTCGTAGCAGATGGAGCACTCGCTCAGCGTTGGCTGTAGGCCCTCGCCCCATTGATGCAGATGGGACGAGGCCGCGCGTGACGATGTCAAAGTACCATCCAGGCTCTGGTAGGTCACCGGGTCGACGTACGTCGACGAACCGGTACTGGCC